AAGAAGTGGTCGGGGAATGCTCGACCTCGCACAATTCACGGGCTATGATTGTGGCTCTAGTTAAGACCTGAAATGCACGGTTAACAATCGGAATTGGGCGACCTTCGCACTAGAAGCTGCTAAGAGATTTGTAATGCGGAGAGGGCTTGCTGCAATGCTCCCCCATTGTGCAGGGACAGTGCTTTGGGTGCAGAAGGACATTGGCTTGTGTGAAGTGTTTGCGGTAACCACCACAAAGTGTGAATTCCAGGCTGCGGTGGATGCATTAAATGCTGCGGGCATCGCGTGTCACAGTCCGACACTTCCAAAGCGCTCAATGTTTGCCCCCCCCACAGGAAGTGCAAGAGACCAAACTTGGAAGTTCAGAACCTGAAGGTTGAGAGTGAAGATTCTTGCTGTGAAAGGCGTGCTTTCGTACTTAACGCCCCCTTCCTCCTGACTGCGGTGGTTTGAGCTCAAACCAGTTGTGAACGTCCGGACACAACCGACCATGCTTGCCGCCACAGGCAACCTTCTATTCTGGCGCTATCAAGAGGTTATCGGCAGTCATTTCTGTACAACTGCCTTTGAACTCACGATTTTCCCTGCTGCAGCGGAAGTGATTCTGGTCGCTCTCTTGAAGAGAGCAAATCGAGCGAAACTTACCAAGGCGTCTTCTGTGGTAATCCATTATTTGCGAGATTTTGAGAACCTGGCCGAAGAGGAACTCAAACTGGCTTGGACTCTTATTGAAGTCATTGCACGGTTGGATTCTGCTGCACAACCCCGTGTGACCATGTCGAGGCCAGAGAAAATAAGTGAGCGCAATCTCCGTGCCATCTCTTGCGTTGGAGAGCGAGCGCGAGCGCAATCGCTTTTGGAGTGCTTTTCTTTGACCCCCAAGTGGTTATCACGAGTGGTCGGAGCCTTCGCAGGCATAAAACTGGATGGAGTAGGGTCGATGCACGTTCCGGTTGGTAAAAGGGCATTCCTTGCTGAATCATTGCTTGGAGGGTGGCTTTAGCTTGCGCAAGGTGTGCAAGAAAACTCGCCAAAGCAGGGAGAATGGCATAGGCCGCAAACTACCTTCATAGACGTGTCGAAGGAAGGCATTGCTATCCATTCCCCCAGCCCTTTGCAGCAAATGTTTGGTTTGCACCGTTTGCGCTTTGGGGGCGTGTGCTAGGTGGATGCTGAAGATCTCCCTGGCCTCAAGTAACGTTGGGAGGGGTGGGTGAGTAGGCCTGTGGCATGTGAGGAGGCGCAGGAGCGAATAATGCGCACCTTTCATGTCAATTTCAATAGCGTTCGGTCCAATGGCCAAGAAACGTGTTAGCCTCTTACTCGTTTGCCAGTGCCGGATGGCATAGTATCTTCCCTGGGGATGCGAGGATGGCCTTCTGTATTGGACGAGCCCTGGCCACGACGTGTCAAGTTCCGCGGGTGATTTAATACGATTGTAGATACAAAAGCGCAAAAGCAGTTCAGGGTTCCAGAGTGGCGGGGATTCAAGGGAGATAATTTCAGCCCCAGACTCAAGATCCTGTATGGCCTGCACATGCCATTGTTTGGGAGGCAGCAGGATAGGTGGAAACCGCGCAGTGTTGATTTGCATATGAGGCTGCCCCTCTCCCGAATCGAAGAAGACATCTTCGCAAAGGGGTGCTTCATAGCGAAGGCTGTCAGCAGCGATTCCCGCTAGATGGTCAGCAACTTTGTTGCCAATGCGAGGGACATATGACCAGTGCACCTTAATGGAAGTGTGCGTAAGCTTTTGCCACATTGCATCAAGTTTTCGCACAAGGTCCTCCCTGTGGAGTCTCAAGGCTCCAGCGAAATGCTTGACAATGTTAATGCAGTCACCTTGAATGATAACTTCCTCAATTTGATTGCCAGCAGCAAGGAGTAATGCCTTGTCCAGCGTTGCGTCAGCGGCATATATTTCCGCAAACATAGAGTCTGGGCAAGGCTGAAGCGGGATGGCGATCGTGTCGAGAATTACTGGGACAGGCCCAGGTGACCAAACGATACCACCCGCTCCACCAATACTTTCTTGCGCATGACAGCTGCCATCAAATTGGGCGACAAGGTGTGTATCTTTGACCGGTTCTAATTCCACAATAAGTGGCGTACTAGCAGGGATTGGCCTCAACGCAGTTACTTTTAGGTGCAGGTTGCCGCAGTGACACATTTTGGGCCAAAGAGCGACATTAGGAACACCTAGGGTCTGCTGATACATGGGGGCAAGCAGATAGTGCTGGGCATCTAAAGTCGCTAAGACATCTCCTATGTTGGCGTTCTTGGGAGAGATGGTAACACCTTGGGCACTTGCTTTGATTAAGGCAGAGAGAGGATGCTTAACCTCGATTGAAAGCCCACCGTCATTGCAACAGGGTTTGCAACGTTCCGTGTCAACCCACCAAGCTGGTAGCATTTTGGGAAGCAGCATCCGCGGGATGGCATTCCAAAGGCGCGAAGCAAGCTTGGGTATATTATTGATGTGCTTTGCCCTTTGAGGTTTTTCGCACCATCCAGGGTGCCAGGTACATTGCTCTTCCATGACATACCTTCGAATAGTTGCAATCCATGCTAACAGGGTTGCACAGAATTTTTTGTCCACCTCACCCTCAATATCGGCCTTGGGAAAGGCACTGTGGCAAAGGGAATCGAACGAGGCAGTGCTAGCGTACCCCAAAGTGACTAGAACAATGAAGAGTGGGGCTTTAGTGACTACGCAGGCAGTAAGCCAATGTTCGGTCGTGTTTGCCCCCAAGCCACAAAGCAAACAATGACTTTGGATAAAGGTACACTGGTGCTCATTTGGTATCAGTGTCACTACGCGTCACTACGGGTCACTCGGGTTACTACGGGTCACTACGGGTTACTGCGGTTCACTACGGGTTACTACTCACTACTACGGAGTCACTACGAGTCACTGCGGGTCCGCTGTGCTACCTTTGGATGGATCGATTAGTTGCAGATCGCAATGGCCGAAGGCGCTTGCAGCGTTCGTTGTGTGCACGTTCGAGGTGGACGTGAATCCATCACAGTCAATCTGCTTTGGTTTGTTGTTGAGCGTTCTTGGAAATCGTCGCGCGACGTAGAAATTCTCGAGCATCTCTCGAAACGAGGCTGGAACACCCTTCCCGAATCACATTACGTTCCGTTTATGCGGGCTTGGAGCGGTAGGTCGCGGAATTGAAGGGGCTCTAAAGTGCTTGCAAACGGGGCGCCCGGCGGTTCGGGAGCAGTTTGAGGGCGCGTGGAGAGCCTGCGAGCTGTTCGGAAGCAGTTTAAGGGCACACGCTGGGCCTGCGAGCTGCTAGGAAGGACAGCGAGTCGCAGAAAGAGCTGCCCAGAAGCTAAATGCATGCTGCTTGCAAGCTGCTACAAGCTACAGCCGGGTGGGCCCCCCCTTAAAGCCCGTTTCAGCGCTCTTTGCAAGAACTTTGCTTTTTATTTTCGAGCCCCGGGAAGCTTGTCATTCTTGTCTTCTGCCGCTGCCCTCTCGGGGGTCATTCTGTCACAGGTACTTGTGTGCTCTGGACGTCTAAACAATGACAGGAATGACAAGAATGACAAGCCGGCCCGAAAAAAAAATCAATTAGTTTTTCCCGGCCTCTATTCCGGGCAGGGCGCCCGTTTCGTCGGCCTGAACCGAGGCCGGAATACAAGTTTCGGGGTCGGAATTCCGACCTTGCTCCTTTCGGAGCCCCCCCGGTTTCTATCCCGAGCGGCGCCCGGTTTGATCCGAAGCATGTCACTTGCAAACATGGCCACACCGACTGCACGTCGCAAGGTTGATGAGTGAAACCCAGAGCCCGCACAGCTGCGAGCACGGATTCTCCGATTTCATTCACGATTCAGCCAGAAAAATCATGCTAACAAGAGTTTCTCACCAGGTAGGCCCAGTTTTGGGACCCAGTTTTGAGGCCAATTTCTGGCTTCAAATTGGGGGCCAAGCAAAGCACGAAAAAACTGCGCAAACTCTGTTCGGAAGACGCGCAATGGCTTAAAGTTCACCAGAGTTTTGCCCGACGGCCCCGACGAGCAGCGCGGCGACCTGACGTGAAGCGGTTTGTCTGCGTATTGATCAACCGAACTGCGCCGCTGTGTGGAAAATGTTGGGCGGTGGGGTGGGCTTGTTGCAAGTGGCAAGCGCCGTTGGGTGCGACTGAAACCCAACCCCCCCAATCTCGAGCCGAGAGGGGGAGGGGTTGCCAGGAGCCCAAGAAGCAGCACGAGGGCAAGCTACTGCCACCCCAACACTTGTCCGCCTGTATGCATTCTGACCCAGCACTATCGTCATGGGAATCCCGTGGACTCTAGTGGAGTTCGTGTGACATGTAACAGTGCCTTCAGGCTTTGCAGACGTTTACAGCCGAGCAACGTTGTGCGTCGATACCGAAAGCTGGCTCGACGCTTTGGCCTTCAATATGTCTTGGGCTTGACTGACATCGTCATTTTCATGAATCAAGGGCTGTACTGCCTGTAGCAACCAAGGCAGTACAACTGCCGCGAGGTATCAGAGCGTTGTGCGGAGTATCAATGTTCATGTGAAGCAACCTTAACTTTCTTCCCTTAAGGCGTTAAGGCGTCCATACTGCGCAACACGCGCGCCGCACTTTCATCTTGTTGCCTCCCAGCCGCTAGCCGATTGGCCATGACGAGATACCAACCTTCGGCGTTCCGACCTGTCGGGGTTCAGTCGAAACACCTCTGTAGTGACCTGGCTGCGTTTCGTGCAGTCAAAGGAGCCTAGTCAGTGTCAGTGAGACAGGACGGCTAGTAGACGAACGAAGAGGAACGCAGGGAACCCTAAACCCGAAACTCAACCCTAAACCCGAAAGGGCATTTGAGCTTCCACGGCCGCAAGAGCTTGGCTGCGACTTCACGTGTTGCCGCATGGTTCCCAAAGCCCTAAGCATTGTGCCTTGAAATCTTATATCGACGCCCGAAACCCTAAACCCGAATGCCAAACCCTGAACCCTAGGCCCTAAACCCTACACTCCCTAAACCCTATGCGCTACGCCAGCAGCATGCTCGCGGCACTGTGTAGCCAGTCAGTATATACTCTAAAATCACGACATGGTTTGAGGTGTTTAGTTCTGGAAGCAAGCATGGGCCAAAGCCACGGGTCATATGCGTCTGCGTGTCGTCATCGGAACAGGGAGATGCTGAACTTGCGGCATCAAAGTCGAGGAGACAAGCGACATCGACTTCAACAGCGTCGAGAACAGAAGTTCGATTCTGACGACGATGAGGATGGCATTTGGCAAGCGTGGGGCGGCCCAAACGAGTTGACACTGGCAAATGGTCAACCGTTCAGCAGCGGCACAGAAGGCGACCAGAATGGCAAAGAGTTTGAGGACACTATCCGACAACTCTTCAGTTTAGATTCAACGCATATTCAACTACATCAAGGTGGCCTTGCTGAGGATGTTGCAGACAGACTGAGAAAAGCTCATAGCCGGCTCCCGCGAGACCTCGCCACAGTGGAGTGCGACTACAACATCGGCAGGGAAAAGTTCGTGCTCGCCCAGCTGGATGGTGTTGGAAGCCTATCGCCGAGCCAGTTGGAGATGGGCGAGTGGCTCCTGGAGCCTGAAAAGAAGGAGGGCATGTGCATTGCCGAATTCTGCATCAACTCAAAACCGTTCAGTGCCAAACTTTACCAACTTGGACGAATTGCCGAGATGATTCATGCAGGAGCGGAGTGTGCTGACGATCATGACATCAAGAACCATCACATCATCTACCTCATCATCGTCGACAGATCGCGTCCGAATCTGGCACCGAGCAGGCTTCTCCGCAGATACAAGGCGCTCAACCTCGCGTATAAGCATGGCAGGTTCGGCGTACTGTACGTCAGCATGGGAACCTTGGCGCGCAAGTGGGCACAAGGCCGGTGGAATGCTCCCCGAAGGGGATGTTCTCCTCTCTGTCTCCTCTTTCTCTTGAGTGTCTGGGTCCGTGACCTTTGCTTACCTGCTGACTATCACCACATGCTGCTCTCTGTACATGTGATTGTTAGCTGGCGTCGTTTGGCGGCATGCGTACACGTTTGGCCTCATCGGAGCGGGATGCAAAACAATTTTCTGACAACCCCCCTGAAGGTCCCATTTCGAACAAGTTTTGAATACATGCAGGTTACAATACCAATATAATGGATGAAGTCGAGCAGGAGCCAAACAGTGTTCTTGAATCACAGTGATGGCCCATTTTCAGCCAGGGCAAGCTCTTACTCCTGTTTTTTTGCACACTGGCGTTTTACGTTTTCTTCGCGCTGCCCCGGTGCTGTGCAGTGTAGTTCTATGTCTTCCAGTTTGAGGTGTAGGTGCGAATCCGTCAGAGTCCTATTTGTCTGTCATCCTTCTCTGCTTCTGTGTTTCGGAAATAGGTTCCTCTTGCCTTCGTGCACATGTCATGATCTGTGCTCCTTCGGATTCCTTTTCTCTTGTTTGATCTGCAAATCTCGGCTACGTTGCGTGATCTGCAGGCACAAGAGTTGCAAGGTTTGAGACCGTTGCAGGTGCCAAGACATGTGACCATTAGAGATTGCCAGCCTTTGGCGTTCTGCGAGGCTCTGCAAGCACGACCTCAACGTCATCCGTCTGGGTGCGGGAACTGATCCGCGAGGACTCTGCTGTGTGAGAGCAAGTGCCGGTAATTGGAGCGCAAGGCTGACCGAGAGCATCAGTAGCATTCAGCTGAACGCAGGGTTGGGGCACCTGTTGGGATCTGGGCTCCAGTGTGTCTCGGACACTCGTCGACAGGGGCGAAGCATGCGGCATGCCCATAGTGGCACACGTCTGATCGTGGGAGAGGGGAGGGGGCGGGAGGCTGGCAGTTTTTTGGCTGTTCCTTGCTGGGAGTGTTTCTGCAAGCTTGCCGTCAGTTCATGTCTGCCACAGTTTTGACCCACCCGACTCGCAGGATGGGAAGGTCACAGAAAAGCTGAGGCGCAAGGAGGATTCCGATGCATATCATGTCCATGTTTAAAGCAGTGCACTCTGGCAGAACTGCGGAGTTGATTTTTTTTCGGAACGTTGAAGAGATCCCACACATGAACTGTGACAATTGCAAGCAGCACCTTTGAAAGTCGAGGATGGCAAGGAGTTTGAGCCAGTCAATGCGTTCCAAGTGAAAGGAGCCTTGGCCAACGCCGCGACCTTAGCTCCACTCGATTGCCTCAGTGCGGTTCTTATGAGTTTATGAGCGGTTCTCCACACTTTTGGTGGACGTCGTCAGGTGGATGACCTGAAGGAAGTGCTGACCTCAAGCCGAACTTCGCTCATCCTGTCTGAACTGATTGCAATAGGACGATGACAAAGATTTTGAGTGCGCATGTCTTGTAGGCAACAAGTCCTGTAGCGGAACTGAGCTTTCATTTTCCATCGAGCCCTTGCTGAGCACTGCTTGAGGCTATCAAGAAGAAGAAGCCAAATCGAGTGACGTGCGATGCAGATGAAATTGTCATTCACAGCCTGAAGGAGAGCTTTTCATGTCAATCCCAGTCTCCTCCCTGTGCCGCGTCTCAGCGTGACTTCGCAGGACAAGGAGTGGGTGAAGGAAGACACGATGTCAGCAAGACTGCGAGACACAACTGAGCCCAGCGCTTGGTTTCGACGCCTTTTCAGCTTAGGGGTTTTGCCGCCGCCCCGCTCGCAGGGCAAATTGCTATGGGTTCACGCTGCCACCAGCGGACGATGCTTGAGTTGCGCGCGTGTGCCTCAGCGCCGGAGTTTGAGCACTGGCTTTGCTTGACTTCCAGGATTAGCAGACAGCAGTTCAACGCTCACATTCTTTGAGCAGGCTACGGCGTTCAAGTTTTCAAGTCAAGCGGGGCGTGCAACGGGTACAGGACCAGCGACACAGATGCCAGTGCTGGTCAGAAGCAGTTTCACAGAGGCGCTCTTAGTCGTGCTTAAGTGCATAGACGCGATCAATCCATTTGAAGAAATCTGGGGGAAGAGCGCTTGCATTGCTTTGCTCCGCCAGTACTTCAACTTTGAGTCTTACTTGTTAGCATGATTTTTCTGGCTGAATCGTGAATGAAATCGGAGAATCCGTGCTCGCAGCTGTGCGGGCTCTGGGTTTCACTCATCAACCTTGCGACGTGCAGTCGGTGTGGCCATGTTTGCAAGTGACATGCTTCGGATCAAACCGGGCGCCGCTCGGGATAGAAACCGGGGGGGCTCCGAAAGGAGCAAGGTCGGAATTCCGACCCCGAAACTTGTATTCCGGCCTCGGTTCAGGCCGACGAAACGGGCGCCCTGCCCGGAATAGAGGCCGGGAAAAATTAATTGATTTTTTTTTCGGGCCGGCTTGTCATTCTTGTCATTCCTGTCATTGTTTAGACGTCCAGAGCACACAAGTACCTGTGACAGAATGACCCCCGAGAGGGCAGCGGCAGGAGACAAGAATGACAAGCTTCGCGGGGCTCGAAAATAAAAAGCAAAGTTCTTGCAAAGAGCGCTGAAACGGGCTTTAAGGGGGGGCCCACCCGGCTGTAGCTTGTAGCAGCTCGCGAGCAGCATGCATTTAGCTTCTGGGCAGCTCTTTCTGCGACTCGCTGTCCTTCCTAGCAGCTCGCAGGCCCAGCGTGTGCCCTTAAACTGCTTCCGAACAGCTCGCAGGCTCTCCACGCGCCCTCAAACTGCTCCCGAACCGCCGGGCGCCCCGTTTGCAAGCACTTTAGAGCCCCTTCGATTCCGCGACCTACCGCTCCGAGCCCGCATAAACGGAACGTAATGTGATTCGGGGAGGGTGTTCCAGCCTCGTTTCGAGAGATGCTCGAGAATTTCTACGTTTACAATTTGCAAATCCATGTTGCCATGCGAAGCTTCAATTGTGTCAGCGGAGCTGATGGCCAGCACCGAAACAATCCCACGCGCGACGATTTCCAAGAACGCTCGACAACAAACCAAAGGAGATCGACTGTGATGGATTCACGTCCACCTCGAACGTGCACACAACGAACGCTGCGAGCGCCTTCGGCCATTGCGATCTGCAACTAATCGATCCATCCAAAGGTAGCACAGCGGACCCGCAGTGACTCGTAGTGACTCCGTAGTAGTGAGTAGTGACCCGTAGTGAACCGCAGTGACCCGTAGTGACCCGTAGTGACCCGTAGTGACCCGTAGTGACGCGTAGTGACCCGTAGTGACCCGTAGTGACCCGTAGTGACCCGTAGTGACCCGTAGTGACCCGTAGTGACCCGTAGTGACCCGTAGTGACCCGTAGTGACCCGTAGTGACCCGAAGTGACCCGTAGTGACCCGTAGTGACCCGTCGTGACCCGTCGTGACCCGTAACGCGTAGTGACCGTTACAGCTGCATCGCGAAGAACAGTCGTAAAAAGCGCAGCAAACTGCAGTAGACGCAGAAGCAGCACTTCACTGCAGAGTTTGGAATCTTTTACGGTGAAGACTGCAGTCTTTTTGGAGTCTCTTCGAAGTCCGCCTACCACTTCTACTGCTGCAAACTGCTGTTTCTGCTACTACTGCTTCTACTTCGAGCAAGATTGCGACATTGTTGGGTTATTGTTGGCTCATATTTTGTCATTCTTGAGCCATTCTTGAATTAAACAAAATTCTTTTTGTGTCTTTTTGAACAAAACTTGCATTTTTTTATTCTGCAGCAAACGAGTTTTTTGTGCATTGTAGTGACGTTGTAGTGACGTTGTAGTGACGTTGTAGTGACGTTGTAGTGACGTTGTAGTGACTTTGTAGTGACGTTGTAGTGACGTTGTAGTGACGTTGTTGACATTTTAGTGGCCTTTTGGAGTAAGTTACCATAAATCAAACCGAGCGAGCCGCGGAATCATAGTGGCGACCCAGTGGCGACCCTGTGGCGACCTTGTGGCTGCCACTGCTGCTCTGCCACTCCGCCCTGCTGCCCTGCCACTGCCTGCTCTCTGCCACTGCTGCTGCTCTGCCACCCCCGCCCTGCTGCTCTGCCACAGCTGTCCACTGCTGCCCTGCCAGCCTGCCCACTCTGCACTACTGCCCTGCCACTGCTGCCCTAGCACTGCTGCCCTGCCACTGCTGCTCTCTGCCACTGCTGCTGCTCTGCACTCCCGCCTGGCCACTCCGCCCCACTGCCCTGTCTTCTGCCACCGTCCCGCTGATCAGCATTGTTGCAGCGTCGCGAAGAACAGTGGCGAATCGTAAAAGCGCTGCAAACTGCAGTATAATGCACAAGCAGCAGTCGCTGCAGAGACTCGGTGAGAGACTCAGTCTTTATGGAATCATTTACGGTGAAGACTGCAGTCTTTTTGGAGTCTCTTCGAAGTCTGCCTACTACTTCTACTGCTGCTGCTGTTGCTGCTACTGCTCAACTTCTGCTTCGAGCAAAGATTGCAACATTATTGAGTCATTATTGCGATTTTTTGAGTCATTATTGAATCATTGTTGGCTCAGATTTGACGCATTATTGAAACAAACGAAATTCTTTTTCGCTCCATTTTGACAACACCTTGCGGTCACAACGCGGTCACAACGCGGTCACAGCGCGGTCACAACGCGGTCACAACGCGGTCACAACGCGGTCACAACACAACGCGGTTACAACGCGGCTGTAGTAACATTGTAGTGATGTTGTAGTGAACGTCGTTGTGACCATGCTGCAAAAGAGGCTGTGGTGACATTGTAGTGCTTTTGGAATAAGTTACCATAAGTGGCCCCTTACATATATATCCTCCAGGCGGGGAAGAGCATTTAATCACCCGCCAGCAGAGCCGCGAGGTACGCAGACTGGAAGTACTGTAGCGCCTGTAGCTCTAAGGCGGTGCCAGCCAGGGTGTTTGAACAGAATCTGGACGGTTCTTCCTGTGTCGCCGCTGCGCTCCGGTGGAGAATTTCGAGGCTTTCGCGTCCAAGTCCCTTGCACTCACAGTAGATCTCCTTATCGTGCTCCTTGAAGTAGTTGAGGGCATTGCTGATCGCTTGCCTGGGGCAGTGGTCAAATGCTTCTGCAGGAGGTCGGCATCGCAGAAGCAACATCTCGTCTGTTCTCGCGCCGGCTAAACGCGTGTTCTCCCCAGTGCTCGCCGTGCTGAACTTGCAGGAGTCGACTTTAGGGAGCTGGTTCCCTCAAGGTTTAGTGCCTTCTCTAACTCAAGTTCCTTGCACCCCTTGCAGCACCAGCTCAGGGCAGAGACATCCTCGCCTTCTGCCTCAGGGACCGACGTAGAAACGAGAGAGGAAAACCAAGTAGAACCAAGCTTATCGCAGCGATATGCAGTGATGAACGAGGACAGGGAAAGCTGCTGGTGGTGACCAGGATCGTGGCACCGGTTCCGTCCGATGATGAGGGTGGAGGTGAGGATGACGCTTATAAATGCTGCTGATGATGAAGGGGGGAAGGGGGGTCGGTACCACCATTGTCCAACTGGCATTAGTAATGGATGTCCTGGCGCACAAACGAGCCGCAGACTGGCGAAGATATGAGGATATGCATGCAAAAACACCACGAGAAACAACAGCAGACATGCCGAGAAAGCAGGCAGAACAACAACGTTGAAAGATGTGGAAGCAACAAGCATAGTAATACATGTGAATATTGAACATCTCATCGCGATACGATGCTCACGACGATTCTAAGAGTCTAAAGACTCACAACGTTTCGGTTTGTGTAGGTGGTAAGGACAAGCAAAAGCCCATATCAATATCATGAAAAATGGCAAGTGGTCGAACAATTCAGAAAGCAATACTATCAAGCGCATGGAGATGAACAGCGAAGTTTCAATCAAGTCTCGCAACTCCGACAGAAGCACCGTGCAGGCTGCATTTGCAATGATGCGCATGGTTACCAAGAAAATGGCAGCAAGATCATGGTGATCAGATTGAAACAATTTCCTTGATGTGGCCGGAATGGTGAAACCGCACGACCAAAACGCAGTCATCGTGGTTTATGGGCTCTGTTTGGCCGGTTTTTTGAATTGGCATACCGAAGCCAGGCAACTTAAAAGAACACACTCCATGTTTTGATATTCTTTTGGCTTGAAGCACGCCCGTGAGCAACGCAAACATTGCAAGACCAGAGAGAATACTACGGCGGCTAGCCAGGATGTCCAGCATGTGCCAGCATAACGTAGTAGGGGCAGTACCTGTTGTATGCCAAACACCTGCGGCCCGAGGCCTTGGTGGGTTACGGTATTATGCTGGATAGTCTTGAACCTCGATATCGGGACATTCTGCAAGCCGTAGTCCGCTTGTGACCAGGCTTCCGACGGTTGCGACATGTTGTGACATGATGGTAGGTGGAAACCCAACCAACCAAAGAATGAGTGGAACTCAGCTTGACTCGAGCTCTCTGGGATGAGACGCAGCAATGTCATTTTGCAATGCATGACACAGCAAGATTCGCAATCACGTCAGCCAACAAGCAACAATATGCAACAATGTTTCATTGTTGCATGGTTTCGGTGACCAAAGAAGCCCATGAATCCGCTTGCTTGTGGTGCAGGAAGCGCGTGCTGCAGCCGTTTCAGAGTCAAAACGCAACAAGTTTCGGCAACCTGGTCTGTTGGCGTCCCAGCGTGTGCGGAATGGGGCCATTTCAGTTGCTTGTGTCGCTTGCAGAGTGAATGAATGCAAATGAATGCGAGCTGCCTCTTCAAGGACCAGGTGTGCCCGTTCTTGTCAAGTTCGAATCGTCAGGTTGGCATCGCTTGAGCTTGTTGCGTCAATTCACACACAGCACACACATGCTA